TCAGCAGTGCTGGACTCCCATGTCTGGTAATTGAGTTGGCAGCACAAGCACTTGAAATAAGCAACTACAGAGCAGAGGTCATACCTGGTAGTGTTGTTGTTGGCATAGAAATGCCATGCTGAAGAGGTTGTAAGTGCTCTCGTTTTAATGATTATAATTTGTTTTCCTATCCACAATTTTTCTTCCAGCTTCAAACACTGATTCAAGAAACTGACCCCGGTGCAGATTACCGTATTGACCGAGCATTGAATGAGGCCTGTGAGTCAGTGATCCAGACTGCCTGCAAGCACATACGATCTGGAGACCCAATGTAGGTGGCTCTCGGGTACAACTGATTTTTGTTTCTGTTGGGCATCCGTGAAGGTTGTGTGCCTGACCGGTGTAGGTACTAAAACCTGTCCAGAAATGACAGGCTCCAACTAGCAGTTCATACAGGGTTGGAGGTGTGAACCAAGCTCTGTCTTCGTTCTTGCCATATAAGCAGGCTAGTATTTTTATAACAGGGCTGGTTTAGCACTGGTGAAGGACATAGCTATCTCAGGTGCTTAGATTAAATTTGTAACACTTGATGTGCTGATTTCTCTTGCTACATGTGTCTTTAGCAATATGACAAGGAAAAGTAACAAGCCTTGAAAGACCGAGTAAGCAAACCCATACTGCAGAGACAAAGGTCTCCTTTGTCTTCAGGTCTGATATATGTTGTCCCCTGAGCCAGATTTATATAAAATATTCCTTATGATTTTGTCGTATATCAAACTTTCCGAAATAACTAAACCAATGGAATTTAAGAGGGTACAAATATGGTATACAGTTGGTTTAGATGTCATCTTTTTGAAGGAAGAGAAAGATCTTCACTGTGTTTGAACATCTTACCAGTCTTTCCAATGAACCATAGATTTGGCAGCACCAACTGTTAAAAGGAAGCTTGGCATGATTATGTCAGTCCGTTGCCTAACTTTTTTCTTCTGTTTGCAGGATTCTGTCTTGCCTGATGGAGCACTTGTATACTGAGAAGATGGTTGAGGACTGTGAGCATAGGCTTCTGGAACTGCAGTATTTTATATCTCGTGACTGGAAGTGAGTACTGTAAACAAATGTATCCTCGCTTGATGCTTGTATTTAGTGTTTGTATGCATTAGCAGTTCCTTGTAAAACAGTATAGCTCATGCTTGTTCAAAAGAGGACTTTGAAGCATGCCAGGTCTGTAGGGCTTTAATGCCTGTCTAGAGCAGGGGAAGCAGAAGCTACTTAGATAAAGTAAGTGTGATGCCTGCTTAAATCACTTAGAAATAATGCAACTCTAAAAAGCGTCTCAAGTTTGAGCTCTGAAATTCAATGCATCTTTAACAGAATTCTCTCTGGCCATAGTGAAGGTCACTTTCTGTGCCAATTTTATCTGCTCTGAGCGCTACAACATGGGACTTAAGAAAACTGAGCTACTAAGTATAACAAAGAGCCACTGTGCGAGAGGCTCCCTGCTTCCATTTCTGCCTTTTTTCAAATTCTCTGGGTGCGGTTACAGCCTGTAGAGCAGATGTAATGCCCTTTGGAGCACTGTTTTTCCAACTTTCTCCCCTAAAGATGGCAGTGCTTCATTTTAAATGTATAGAGCCCCTTTTTTCTGCATGGGTTAAGGTGAGGAGAGCATAAATTTGATAAATGTGATCAATGAGGAAAGAATAAGTGTTTGACTTTTCTTCTGAAGAAGACTGAGAGGTGAGGAAGTAGAGTACATGAAATAGGATTACTGCAAGAAACGGAATAATTGTTCTCAGTGACCACAAGGAGTATAAGGCAAGAAATCGGGGGCTTCAGTTACTGCAAGGGGTATTCAAGTTAAGCATTAAGAAAATCTGACTTATAGCTGTATATACGAGCAGCATCGTCAGTAGTTAAGAGCTGACATGCTCTGTGAACCTTCTGCTTTTAAAACACATGGGGCATCCTGGACCAGAGAGTTTAGGGCTTTGTGGCTGTCTATTTATTCATCTCAATAACCATCTCCATAGACAGACAAGAATATTTAAATTTTTTTCCCTCCTCTTCCTGTTTCCCTTTGTTGCTGGTTCTTCTGCCTGTGTTGTGTTTCCAGCAGGTAATTCATTGCTTGAGCCAAACTTAAGCGATAGGAAGAAGGAAGACTGAGTATTTGCATTTTGCTGGGAGTACAGATAGTTCTAATTCATATTGCAGGCTGGGCAACATGAGCTCATCTTTCTTGTTTAACTACTGTTTCTTGAGACTGGCTCATAAAACCTGTTGTATTAATCGTGCACCTAGCACAGATGCATGGAGTGGGAATGGTTTTCCTAACTATTTTTATCATTATCTATATAGCTGTCCACTGATATTACTTGGTGTTTGCCTTCTGAAGTGTTGTAGAAATCTGAAGTTTCCATTTTGGAAAGTTGGCAATATCTCACTTAGCTTTAATGTAATTAGACATCATCTTTAAGAGATCTACATTTGCAGTTTTATTATATGCAAAAGTAAGGGATGCTGAGTCTTCAGTTAGCTCAAACCCAGAGCAAGCAATGATTAATCTAACTCAGATTTTTATGGAACTGGCATTTCAAAATGGCAGCAGTACAAAGTACACATCAGATATTATACAAGCAAAACATGGTATATACCTGCCTTTTTGCTCCTTCAGGACGTCAAGGGGATGATTTCTTTTCTCATGTGTCAGCATTTGGCTGGCATGCTGCAGAAGAGGATGGGAGGCGCTTCAGGAAGTGTTATAGGTTTAATCTCTGATTAAAGATCTTAGTGTATTTATGCAAGATTAGGAAGTTGATTCCAAATTGAGCGACAGGCATTTTGTCACCTGTTAGTTCAGCACGTTAGACACTGCTGCTGAATGATGTGGTGGTGTATGAAACTTGGAGCAGATTTTTTCTGCCTCAAAAGCATTTCAGGTTATGAAAAAAGTTAAAGGTTTGAATAAAGCGCTAGTGATAACTTTTCTGTTTGCAGATTGGATACAGTCCTTTACCGCAAGTGTCAGGGAGATGCCTCCCGTCTCTGCCATACCCACGGCTGGAATGAGACTAGTGAGCTGATGCCTCCAGGAGCTGTTTTCTCCTGCTTGTACAGGCATGCGTACCGCACAGAGGAGCAAGGAAGGAGGGTGAGCGCTAGAGTGTAACTTACTGCTCTTTGGCCTGTGACAGAAGGGTTGCACGTACGTTTGGACATTGGACACACTGTGCTAAAACTGCAAGAACTCACAAAAGCTGCTCATAAGTATTTACTGTGGGTGGTACTTGTGCTGCTTTGCATGCCCAGCTCCTCCTCAAGTGTGCCTGGAAGGTCTGGTAAGGCAAAATAGCCACATCAGGATGTGACTGTTGCCCACAGGGGGAACTGTGTGCTGATAAACAACCTATGTTTATCTGTTTAGGCACAGTGCAAGTCCTCCCTCTTGTCTTTCCAAAGAGGAATGTGATTCCTTGTAGATAGCTAGCATAACTGCAAAATTGGTTTTATGCAAAAAGGAGTTCCAAGCCCAGCTTTCCTAGGCTGTTCCTAATTAAGATTTGATGTGAGTGCCACTTCAGATCATACTCCATTAAACTCTTCCTGTTGATATAAAGCATCCTTTCAATTCTTTGGAGCATACTGTACAGTTAAATGTGCTTATGCTACCCTTAAAGAAGACAAAGAAGACAGTAGGGATCTGACTTGCTGCCCTGCAGTCTGGAGATCCACCATAGTGACGTTTGTTTGGTTCAGAGCTATTCTTTTCAAGTTTGCTGCCCTCTTGTGCCTTTATCAAGGCACTCCCTTGAAAGTAGCTGGATACTCGATTCCATTTCTTTTGGCACTGTAGTGTACGCAGCCCCTAGGAGTTGGTGGGTTTACACAATGGCCTGGCTTAAAAATTAATTTCTAGAGCTTGATTTAAAAGGTCTTTTGTGGCAGAGGTCAGGTATTGATTGAAAGCATCTCTCTTTTAGGAATAGGGGGTTTTTTAATGCAGTTTCTTAGTCTGCTGAGTTGAGACTTTTTAATTGCATTTTATATTAGTGCTGACCAAAGAAATCAATAGCAACCCTGCAAATAATCCATCAGAGAGAGAAAAGGCTTTTAAATGTATTTTTCTTGTGGAAAGTAGGATAAGGGAGCAGCTAAATTTTTAAATTTGGCATTTGAAAGCAAACTCAGAGGTTAGTTCTGTACTTTTTTCAGTGCTGTCCACAAAGGGTTAGGTAACTTCCAGTGATTTGGATTTTTAAATGTCTGAAGTTTCAAGCTTCAACCAGTATATTTTAGATCTGACAAGCACCATACCAGAATCTCTTCATTTTCTACAATGTGTTTCTTCCTCAGTCTTGGCAGATGTTGGCTCTGATGTGCTTGCGGTAGGGATTGCTGAGAAAAAAAAATCACAGCTGAACTATATTGCCTCATTCTGGGCTTCCCTTTTGGTATTGAGGGCATGAGCTACTGTGACTTTCTTCTCCGGAAGCAGTCTGTAGCTTTGAATGAAGGTGACAGCGCATCAGATAATCTAGGGACTTGCTTTGACATCTCATTTCAAAAGCAAAGTGAAGGTTTAAGAATGTAAAATTTATTTTAGTGGAATTAAAGGAGCCTCCATCCAAACTAAATGACAGAGCTCCAAACTCTCTTGGAGCCTGGGTCGCTTGTGGGAGCCCCAGCAGGCTCGTGCTGAGCAGTAGAGGACTACTACTGTGGTTTCTGGGATTGCTGATGGCATTCGTGGTCATTCTCAGTACCTTTCCTGACAGCATCTTGTTTGTATGGTATGGATTTAGAGACCTCATATGCTAAATGCTCTTTGCTCTCTTTGCAGCTATCACGAGAGTGCAGAGCAGAGGTCCAGAGAATCCTCCATCAGCGTGCCATGGACGTGAAGCTGGACCCAGCCCTCCAGGACAAGTGCATGATTGACTTAGGGAAGTGGTGCAGTGAAAAAACGGAGACAGGGCAGGTACTGTACACAGTGACACACCTAATTCATTTGCAGAGCTGGAGCGGTGGGAAGGGCAAAAAAAGAGATAAAGGGACATCTTTTTGTTAGCTGTCTCTTTATAGCTGAGAATATATTAACAATGCATGCAATTTGAAACATAATCTGCACTAGATGGAGAGATGGAGGTGATATGAAGAAGCTTTGCACCTACTGCATGGCTTCAGTAGGTTGAAATGTGTTGTGGAATGAGAAGGGGGAACAGGATAGTTAACAAGAAGGACTTGAATGAAGCAACCCTACGTCACCCTGACTCTTATTTGTAATACTCTATTACAAGCTTCACATTTCCCATGTAAACTTTATCCGATTTCCATTTGGCAAATACTGACATGCTTCCTGTGTTTATACAGAACTGAACTAACATCTGCTGCTACTTAAAATTTCAACAAATACTTCCATTTTAAGTGGCTGTGCCCTAGCATAGCTGTAGGGAAGGAGCCATTCAATAGCAGATGCAGTAGAGCATACACCATTGTCTTTTTGAAGTGCCCATCATAGGTTGTAGTTTGGGTAATTAACCTCTCATTAAGGTTATACAAAAGGTGAATTAAATGTGATATTCCAGAGGTGAAAGCACATCGTGCAGCTTTTGAGAACAAGTGGTAACGTCCTAGACCAATGTCCTCAATCAATACTATCTATGTCTGTTCTGGGAGTGCCAGTAGAGGAGTGGGATTAAATGAGATTTAGGATTTTACAAGGAGGAGGGCAGTTTCACATGCGTTGTTATATTTCAAGTCCAAATTTTCAAATTGGGTTATTGGATCATACACTAAAATGTCTGGTTTTGTAGGAGCTGGAATGCCTTCAGGACCATCTCGATGACTTGGTGTCTGATTGCAGAGATATAGTGGGAAACCTCACTGAGCTGGAGTCCGAGGTGAGCAATTTTCAGCCTGGGATAAAGGGAATAGTTGAGCGTGTCTAGTTAACCATGTTATTTTGATAGTGATGGAAAAAGTGAGGTTAGAGTAGCTGCGGAAATGCAGCTCTCTGGGATCAGACAGAGACCATCGTTTTTACCCCACACAATGTAAGTTTTTGTGGGAGGTTCTTGAGGAAGATAGCTGAACAACAGTTCAGGATTTTAGGTTGGTGATGACGTTTTTCCTGCTTAAAATTGGTTATGGTACTGAAGGTAAGATTCCTTGCAGTGGTAACCCAGTTAACTTTAGTACAAGTCAAGATATGTTGTGGGACTTCATTTTATGGTCTTGCTTGCAGGTAGTTTTGAGTACCATATTACAACTTCCTTCCCTCTATCTCAGAAACTTTGCAAGAAATAACTGCCAGGTGCACCATTAGAGGTTTTCAGTGAGGTCAGCGGCTTTACTTACTTTATGAAGCTGCATATTTGACTGTCTTGCCCAAAACTGTTCCTCGTCTCTCTTAAAATTAATCTTGTGTCCTAGGAAAAGCTTCCTTCCGGTGGTTACGAAATTATTTGCTCAGAACTATCATTAATCTTTAACTCTTGCCTAGGTGTAAGTTGACTTCTAATGCTGTCACATCCAGTTTGGAGGAAATTGGCTGAATTATCCAAGCAATGAGTTTCTGTAGAGACTAGACCCTTCCCTGAAGCTGGAAGGCTTCTCTTGCTTTTGCCATGTTGTTGGCAAGAGTGAACCCTAGGATTTCCAGAACTGAAGGGCAAAACAATCTGGATTGTGTCTTTCAAAACCCTCTAAACTGGGTTGAGTTTTAACTTGTTATCATAGGGGTTTTTTCAGGGCCTTTTTTCTTGTCCATTCACTGTGAATATTAAATATTACATGTTTTCTGCAGGACATTCAAATTGAAGCCTTGCTGATGAGAGCATGTGAGCCCGTTATCCAGACGTTCTGTCATGTGAGTACTCTGTAATAGCGTGAATATCTTTGAGGGGAAAAACACTGTGTGGGGAAGGTTAGAGGTTTTTAGTTCGTAGTGTACTTGGTACAGTTCAAAAGTAAAATCAGATGTAAGCAGTTGCAAAAGTCTTTAGTTAAAAAACCACCCTAAACCAAAAATTCTTAGTTCCATCTAGTACTTCTGCTGTTGTCAGAGCCCTAGCACAAAAGCCAGAGGTTTAAAGAAGAAAATTGCCCTGTAACTGGAAAAAATCACTCTTTACAGTGGGTTAAAAATGAAACTTTTTTTCCTTCCCCCCCATGCTCGCAAGCAGTGTGCCTAGCCACTCCAGTCTGTGCAGCTACCCAGCATTGCTGAAATAACTTTACATTGCTTTAGGATTGAATAGTTACATAGCAGTGAAGGCACCTTGCTGTAATACTTCGTGTAAGCATTGAGTCTCTGTAATGTGTTCTCCTGAGTCTAAAGTGTGCATGTGCATGAGATGATTCTCTTCTGAACTACGTCTGTAAATACTTGCGTGGTACAACTCTTGGGCGGTCAGTTACTGGTGAGTGTAAGCACACAATAGAGAGTGGGACTGTGAATTCCATTATTTTCTCGTCACAGTGGGCTAAAGGAACATAAAAATCATGACTTGTAAGAGTAACTCATTTTTAAGCCTTTCATCTCTTCTTCAGGAGGTCGCAGATAACCAGATTGATTCTGGGGACCTGATGGAGTGTCTAATACAGAACAAACACCAGAAGGAAATGAATGAAAAATGTGCAATTGGAGTTACTCATTTCCAGCTGGTAAGCAGCACTGTTCTGAGCTATCAATGGAAGCCTGTTCTGTTTGTTGAGGTTGTTGACAGGAATTAGCTAATTATGAAACCCCTCCTTCTTTGAGATTGATTTCCCACTGTATTTAAAGTGCTCTTGTGAATTCAGACAGTTGTTACTTGAATGCCTGGTCATAAATGGTCACCTCTGGAGATGATTTGTTTTCAAGTCCTCCTTCCTTCCTGGTGTATGGTAGAGAGGGTCCCAGCTTCTTCAGCACTGCAGCGTTTCCGTTTGCTTCCACATTAATAAGTTGTGGACAAAAGCGTTTGCTGATTGTATGATCCAACCAGTGTTCTTTTGGGCAACCCTTTTCACTTGTTTTTTTCCCCTCTTGCAGGTTCAAATGAAAGATTTTAGGTTCTCATACAAGTTTAAAATGGCTTGCAAGGAGGATGTGCTGAAACTTTGCCCCAACATCAAAAAAAAGTATGTAGCACCTGACCAGACAGCAATCTGATCCTGTAACTTTATTATGTATTTATACAATATTTCATGATAAGACAGCAAACGCTGGACTTCCTTTAAAGGCTGCTTGTTTTGTGTGTTCCTGCTTAGTGACTGCATTCTACAGATGCTTAAAGTAGAGGCATTGTCTGCCTTTTTAAAAGTGCTTCCCCTTTACTCTTGAGTACAAGCCTGTCCGCTTTATTTTTCTTACTCTGAAAACAGCTGATGGTTATGATTAGTGGACTGCATGTCCCAGGATGTTTTATATCCTTGCTAGATTCATCGTCTTCTAAGATGCAGATTACCATCATTCCAGTTGTTGATCTGGGAAGGGAAAATATCCTGCTTGTTTTAGCTGACTTACTCATTTCAGTATAAGGATGTTTTTAACGGCCTACTGCAATGACATAAGGCTAAATTACATGCAAGTTCAATCCTCTTAATCGATAGCAGGATTATTTGCATTTTGTGATATAAATGCCCTTCCCATAATGCAAAAGGATTGCTCACAGTGGTGAGCAAGGTACTCACCTTGATCTATTTTTTAGATTAAGTAAAGCTTTTCTAAAGTGCTCATGTGACTTAAAAGCAGAGGTCTTGCTGGGCGGGGTGTGGTGGGATTTTGAATATCTTCCTGTCTGCTGATACAGACTCCGATTAGGTAGCATCAGATTTAGGTTTAAATTATGATCCAGTTACCCTACGTAGAGCTGTACCTAAGCTAGAAGTAAGCACAGATGCCCAAGGACTTTTGTTTGGATTCCTGGGGTCCGTTTCTCTGATCTGGTGATCCAACACCAGTCTTGAGTGGTCCTAAGTGAAGGGTATATGAGTAAAAAGCTGTTTTCTTTTCTGCAGGGTGGATGTAGTGATCTGTCTGAGCACAACTGTGCGCAATGATACTTTGCAGGATGCCAAGGAGCACAGGGTCTCTCTGAAGTGTCGCAAACAGCTGCGTGTTGAGGAGCTAGAGATGGTAAACATGCATGAAACTCTTGAGCTGCCCACTCTTCTAGTGAGGTCCTTCAATTAAAGCTTCCTGGTTTGTCCACCCTGGGAAAAAAGGAAGCTCTTTTGTAAGATGTATCTAATTTATTTTTTCCACTCTTCTTACAACACGAGGCTCGGTTGCCCTTCATGGTGAAACTAATGATTGTCTACTTCAATGCCTTAAATATAGTCTCGTGAAGGCTAAGGCAAGCTAAATGTTCATTGGAGTCTCAGCTAGAAGTGATTATGTTTAGTGTTGACAGCAATGTCCTGCACATGCTGATGTCCTTAAAGCCCTCTGGGAGAGAATAAAAGCTTCATTTTACAGACTGAGGAAACAAGCACAGATGAAGCAACTTGACTCCAGCTGCTCTGAGTTGCTCAGTGGTTAAAGAGGAGGAGTACTTGTTCTGGTAGGCAGAGCTGCCTCTCAGCTTCCTGCTGCAGTGCTTGCAGCAATAAAATCTTAAGCTCTTTGTCCAGTAGATATTGTTTGAGTGTTAAAGCTTCACCTTAAGTAGGCCCAGAAGAGGCAGCACTCTTGCCTTTGTATGGAAAAATTCAAATGGTGGACATTGCTAGAAGCAGGAAACTTCATTCACACCCTCCAGGTCACCCAGCATATGGGTGGATATCAAGATGTTGTTTAGCTTTCACGTGAAAAAATTTTAGTTGTCTTGGACGTTTGCATTGTTGCGCTTTTAGGAGGAGCATTGGAAAAAACTTGCCGGCTCTAAAATTAGTTTTAAACCCTTTCTTCAGTGTAAAAAGCCAACTGATCTGCTGCATGGATTTGCAAAGTTGATTTCCCTCTAACACCATTTCTCACAGCCAAGACCTTAAATTCAAAGAAACTGACCTGACTTTTGTGAGAGTTGCTTGCTTTTTGTGAGTAGAGGGCTCTAGTTAATAGGTTAACCAAGTAAAATACTCTCTAGAGTCCTACTCTAAAGTTCATATTTTAATTCATCCTGCAGACCGAGGATATCAGGCTTGAACCAGAACTGTATGAGGCCTGTAAAAGTGACATCAAGAATTACTGCCAAAACGTGCCCTATGGCAATGCTCAGGTAATGGATTTTATTAATAGTTTACAATTTAATTTGTACTTTCATTTAAGAAAGCTTTTGAAGAACACTTTTGCCCCTGCAAGTGCAGCTTCAGATTTTCATTTTGATATCGCTGAAATCTTTTGCCAGTATTTTGGAATGTTTTGTTGTTTTTTTTTCACTGGTTCACGAGTATTGATACTGGGTGAATGCAATGCTGCAAGCGCTTCATTCTTAGTTAATGCTAGTTTTAAACTATTAGCAGCTCGTTACTGCAAATGTTGCTAAAGACTTCTTAGGCTTAATGTCTGCAAGATGAGGTTCGGTGTTTTGGAGTAAGTCCAAGTAACCCTATTCATCTCATTAAACCTTTGTGAAAAAAGATACGCTTAAAGCAAGTGCTGGAAATAAGCATTGGTAATGACTTCTGAAAAAATCTAGGCATTGGGGACTTAACTGCACAAATCAGGTGGAGATGGTCGTTAGGGGATCACATAGCTGTACGTTGAGCAGCATACGACAGAATCATATCAACAGTGTGTCCGTTATGGTTGTAATACTGTGTTGTAGATTATTGAATGCCTGAAAGAAATCAAGAAGCAGTTGAGTACCCGGTGCCACCAGAAGGTGTTTAAACTGCAGGAGACAGAGATGATGGATCCAGAACTGGACTATACGCTCATGAGAGTCTGCAAGCAGATGATCAAGGTAATGGTAGTGTGCTGATTTAAGAGGGTGAGGTTGAGATATAAGAGCTCTATTGGTTTTGAGCTTCCCCTAAAGGCTTGTTAGAAGACTGCTGTGTTGTTTCAAGAGTATGATTGCTTTTTTGCAAAGTAATGAGTTTCTTAACTCTGCATCAAGCTGAGGTTCCTTCAAGGCTCTTTCTCTTTCAACTTTACTTCTTCCAAATATCTGATCAAAGCCTGTGCGCTAATTGAGGAGGAAGTCTGTGCTGAGGCTTCTAATACAGTTTTCATCCAGTTGGTTTGGATTTGGATTGGCTTTTAGCAAAGGTGGGGAAGTCATGATTACAGAGAGGATAACGTCTTCAGTTCACTGCTGACCTGGTGCACACAGATTTTGATCGAACTGATAAAGCAGGCAAAATCATGCAAAACTTAAAATTATAAATGCTGGCGTGAAGTGGTACCACGTGGAAAGCAGCAGTGAATGTTAATACAAGACACTCTTGCACAGTAGCCAGAATCACAAGCCCTGAAACAGTAGTGTGTTAGTTTGTGTGGTCTATACACAGTACCCTGACTCCGTATTGTGGCCGAAGCAGAACATCTTGAGAATTTACCACTTTGCAGGACAGACTCATTCTTCTAAAAACCAGACCTATAATCTCACCAAAATGTTGAGGAATAGAAAATGCAACCTTATCTTACACCCACAGAATTAGTTTCTAACAAAAGAAATTAGTACCTTGGTCTGAATTTTAGGTAAACTGGTTCACTTTTGACCATCTGATTCAGGGCAGGAATGAGCAAGTTAGTATCCATGAGCTGTTCTCCACTTTCTTGTTCTGTATGGTTGTACTGTGTCCTCACTGTTACTAATGAAGTCTTTACTGGTCACTTTGTCCGGCCAGGATTTAGGCAGAACAGCACTGTGTGTATAGACTTAAAAGATGCCCTTTTTAGTTTCTAAAATAAAGGGGAGTGAAACTAGTTGGGTACAAGACCTAATTTGGTGAGTATTTCCTGCTCAGTGTGCTGTAACTCAAGAATAGAAAATAAAGGCAAATTGCTTCTGATACAGCCAACACAAGCTGGAGCCTAGAAGCCACTCAAGATGGCTTAGTGCTCACTCCATAAGCAGAGATAGTCAATTTAGAGAGTAGCACTGTTCTTTTTAATAGGAGGTGTTGGGACTAGAGAGCATGTCTGTATAGCTCTGGATTGGGCAGGTGGTTATTCTCTTTGTGGATATAGTTGGATTTTTTTTTTTCCAAGTGCTTAGTGATGAACATTGGGGTTTTTTAAATTTTTTTTGTAGCGGTTTTGTCCAGAGGCAGACTCAAAAAATATGTTGCAGTGTTTGAAACAAAACAAGAACAGTGAAGTGATGGATCCCAAATGCAAGCAAATGATTACCAAGCGCCAGATTACACAGAACACAGGTATCATCTTCTGAAAAAAACCTTTACTTGCTTGCCTGAGCCATTGAGTAGTCTGCATGGCTGGAAGAATATTCGCTTTGTTTTATTCTGCATCGTGGTTGTCAGCGCACACACTGACTTTATTCAATCAAGTTCTTGAGGGTCAGCATGCCTTGTTGGATCCACTTTATTCCTGAAGCTCTTACTTCGCAAGTTAAAATTCTGTTGTGAAAAAATACTATTTTTCCCAAAAAGTAAATTCATGGGTGATACAATGTCATCCAGGAAATTTCTGTCAAATCTCTTTTATTATGTTCTGTAATCTGAAGAGTTGTGTACTGTAATGAAGTTCTGTCGTCTTTCCTGGTTAGATTACCGCTTAAATCCAGTGCTCAGGAAGGCATGCAAAGCAGACATACCAAAATTCTGCCAAACTATCCTGAATAGGGCCAAGGATGATACAGAGCTGGAAGGGCAAGTCATCTCATGCCTGAAGTTGAAATATGCAGATCAGGTGAGTAGAGCTGTGCATGCAAATGAGAAACTGTGCTGAGCAACCCCACTGAATAACCAATCCAGCTTGTGTTTTGTGGTGTGTTTGATCTACGTAACAGGCTGTGCATAAATGAGTTTCATGCTCCTATATGTGTTACAGAATGCACAGGTTAAAATGCAAGGTGATTGATTTATGAAAGTAGAGGTCATTGTGTGGGTTAATGACTTTCTCCGCTTAATAGCGTCTCTCTCCAGACTGCGAGGACCAAATTCGAGTGATAATCCAGGAATCGGCTCTTGATTATCGGCTGGATCCCCAACTTCAGATGCACTGCTCTGAAGAGGTAGGAGAAGTAGCTCCACAGCTACTTTTTCAGGACAAAAACTCTCTTCATGAAGCAGATTCTTAAAGCATGAATTATCTTGATAATTAAAACAAACAAAACCCCCTTTCGAACTGCTTCTGGCTAGTCATGGTCTTTGTGATTTTTGTCCCTTGTCCAAGAATTGCAGTTTCCTGTGCAGTGCTAATATAAAGTTGTTTTTTTTTCTGGGATCTCATCAGTACTCATGATTGTGGAAAAATACTGCTTTCCTGTTGAGAAAAAAATGTGTGCAAGTTCTCTGGTCTTGTCAGCCTTAACTGGAATACAGTCAGATTTTTGAGATTTCACTTTTGATAGCCGAATCAGCAGATCAAGTATTGCTTATTTCATATCTTAACATTATTTCTATGCTGTTTTCCTCCCTGCCTTCCTCCTCAGTACAGAAATATTGACTTCTTGCTGTTGGGTTTCAAAGGGTATATAGACATTGCATGAGCCAGGCTGCATTTGGGTCTGGCGATTCAGGGCAGGGAAAGTATCTCATGTGTTGTCTAGCTGTGCCCTGTGATGAACTAATGTATTGAAATACAAATGTGCTAGAAGCCAGACTGATTGTTGTGAACTACTACTCTTAAGTTACCTTTTTCAAAATAGATTTCCAGCTTGTGTGCAGAAGAAGCAGCAGCTCAGGAGCAGACTGGGCAGGTGGAAGAATGTCTGAAAGTGAATCTGCTGAAAATAAAGACTGAAATGTGCAAGAAGGTAAAGGAAGTAAACTGAATGTGCTCTAAAAGGCATCCCATCCCTGCAGAAGCATGCAATTTC